GAAATGTACATGGGTAAGCCAAAAAGCACAGTAATTTCAGGGATGCACCACATTATTATGATAAAAGACTACAAAAACAACCTTTTTTTTTTTTTATAACGTGCACTGATGAATCATGCCAAATAAGAGCAGGAATGCGATTAGATTCAATTTCATGTTGACTTTAAGCCTTTTGTTCAACTACTCCTTGCAATGCATCATTACAAGGGCCTAGAGTCCCATCATAGGAGGCAGTGCTGCCCGACTGCATAACAAGAGCAAGGTGGGCCCTCGAGCAACCTGGAGAAAAGACAACACTTTGTTTACCATCTCAGCGGCTTGGAAAAGAGCACAGAGACTCCCACTCAACCACTGAGATTTTACAAGCTCCTTTTTAGATTTATCGTAAACCTATACAGTGACAATACTGGGGTTGCGTAACTCCCAAGTACGCCAAGTTCAGTGTTTTTAATGTGCTTGAAGATAACTCTTGTTATTATCTGAATCTGTCATGTCTGTGCCAGCAGCAGGTTACTGGAGCACACAGGGCATTGCTTTAAGCATTTAAAATAAACACTTCCTTCATGTTAGTATGTGCCAAAGCTTGTGCTACAATCAGTGAAAACACTCAAATGTGAAAAAGCAGGCAAGCTTTGAACACAGCACAAATATGATTTGGCGCCAGTCAAATTCCAGCATGCCTGTGTTGCGTTAGTTGGCAACATGTTATATCAGCAAGGCTGGGCTTTGGGTTGGGCAGTTTATTCATTTGAATTGGAGAGGAACTAATTTCTAAATTAATGGTTCAAGAAATTAACTCATTTCAAATTAACAAAATTTTTTCCCTGAATCTGTTCTTTTAAATTACACATTTGACGACAAAAACCAACTCAAGGAAAAAAAAACCAGAGCGTTAGTGCTAGTCATTATGAAAGCTGTACAAGCAAAAACTGACACACTGAGCCAGACAATCTACCGTGAAAGCTAACAAAACAGGATTTGATCAAATACACTTTTGGAAAACACGGATAAAATGTTCAGGGCTTAACAATAAGGATAACTCAAGGCCGAAGCTTGAACCTATGCTGCATTTATGCCATCAATTCAGGTTGCACCAACAACCCCTTACTCAACAGAACCTGTATGTGACCAGTTCTGTTGAGTATAATGATCATTCTTCTCAAAAAAGTGAGACCGAACACAACCAAATTGACACTGGGGTCTCAAGAGGTGTTTGCCTATAGCCCTTTTCCCTGTAAAGTACCGTAAAGGGATCATGAGTGAACAGGATCTTTTCAAAAATACCGGAAAATTCATTTTGTAGAAGTTGTAACATTACCGGTAAATAACCAGTAATGTGCTCTGTGTGAACGCAGAACGAGACTACCGGTATGAGCACGTACGAGTTTAGAAAGCCGCGACTAAAGACTCTGGTCCAACCATAACATTCTGACGCAGATGACACATTTACTCCGCACGGTGTAGTTCGGGTTGAATTCATCTAATACAATGTCTCTGGGCAAAAAGCAGCCGCATGAGTGTGAATGTTTGACAAAAATTAAAACGTCAATAAAAACACTGACTGTGTATACCCTTTCCCTGTTTACAAACACAATACCTGGAGGAGAGGTAATTTCCGATTAATGATGTCACAGAATTTACCGGTATTTTGAAAATGATATGTGAATGGTGCTTTACCAGTAAAAAGACAGAATGCCATTGCCTGTGTGAATAGCGCATTTTTGTATCTACAGGGAAAGTCGTTCCAATAATTTTACGGCAATTTACTGGTATTACTGTGTGAAAGGGGCTATTACTTGACATGCCGTTTAAAAAAAAAAAACAACGCTCATGGCACAAGTCGGTAAAAACAGGGAGATGCAATGCAACAGCCAAAAAATTAAATGGGACTGGAGAAACGCATTGTATGCATTCCTCATTGCATTTTTCTCAAAAAAAGTGCAATATAGAGATTGTTATGCCCTGGGATTGTTATACATCAATGCCACTGCTTTAGTTGCAAAAACAATGACTCCATGACTTTAACATTCAAACACTTGCGAATTTGACGTTTGTTTTCTTATTGTCAATCAAGTTTACATCGAGTTGCATTATATTTGTTCAATTTACAGCTATTAAATTAATGACAATAACAAACCCTAAAAGTTACATACAAAGGAATATTCAGCTTTGCCATCATATGATAAAATGTAATTTATTCCTATATTAAAATAGAGAGCACTTATTTTAACTAATAATATTTCACAATTTTACTGTTTTCACTGCATTTTCTTTTATTTTTTTTTGATGATTCTTGGTGAGAATTAAAGAATTTTCAAAAGAAATATTAGCAACCCCAATCTTTTGAATGGTACTGTGAAGTTTAAAAATGTCGCAAATTTATCTGGTAGATAAATTAATATGTTAATAAATATATTCAGTCAATTAATTTAAAAATATGCAGGTAAAACCAAGCAAATTGTTTCAGTTTGGTCTCAGGGCCAGTGAAACTGTTTATAGGCAAGTAAAAATCTGAACAGGAAAAATCTGTAGTGTTGAGCCAGGATGTGTCATGGTTATATAACATACGGCTGTAACAAAATAAAAAAAGGGACATATCCACAGCTGAGGAAACAACAACAAAAAAAAAGCCAAATCCAAGCTTGCACCAGCTTCAGAGAGTTAACAGCAAAGCATCACTGATCAGACAGCCCAGCGTGATTTTAACACATTGCCTTTGTCTCCTGTAAAATACAATAACACCTGGCAAAACAAGGGAATAATTTCCATCACCAGCACTGGGAGGGAGAAAATGAAGGTTTCAATGCATGCAGTTCTCCTGCAGTTTAGTTAGCGAGAGCTCAGGGCTGCGCAGATCCTCTGCAGAACTTTCCCGGCCAGGTTATAAATCAGGTCTGAGGTCAACGAGACTCACTAGCTCAGCATCAAACTCCCGCTCACCAGAAACACAAAGCTGCACACAGTCTGGAAACACACACCTCTCTCAAAATAACATTTTACCATGGTAATCGTACGCTTGAGGAGCTATCAGATCAAAACAATCACGCATACAAGGAGTCAAATGTATAACAAGGACAAAAGATAACAGAATATACAGAAATACAATAGGGTCATAATATTGATCTGAAGGTAAAATTATTCTTTGATTTTCTACAGTAATGCTGATCTATGCATATCCATAAACGTCACTGCACCTCCTCATGATGGTGAACCACAGGCAGCTCCTTTCTCTCTAAATGCATCAATTAGCAACAAAGAGATTTCATTGTTTATTTCAGTGCGTCACTGCCATTATTTCTGGCACTGAAAAGAATTGTTTCATAATTTGTTATATCATGCCTGCAGGCTGAGCTCTTATTGGAAGAGCATGCCATCGGAAAGGACTTTGGTGCACATGTAAAAGCACAAAAACGCCTCTAGGACAAGGGCAGCTGTGATTAGGTAAGGTTTAAAGCAACCAGACAGGGATCATCCAGGAAAGGTGTGAGAGCTTTTGAGTCCATAAACTTGACTCTCTTACATGAGTTCATTTGCATAATTTGCCTACTGTGAAAGCAACCGACACGTTTCACAAGCCTGACGCAGTGTTCTCCGACAAATACAAACTTGTCCTTTTCAACATGGGGAGTGATTTATCACCTAAAGCCTGTCATAAACACCCATCAGACCAAACACCTGAAAGCCATTTCTGATGAATACGTAGGGCTGGGCAAAAAAATTGATTTTTCGATATATCGTTTTTTAAAATGTGGTCGATTCAATATCGATTCTCGAAGGCCACGAATCGATTTTTTTCAATATTTATTACTGTGAGATTTTATGTTTGTTTTGTCTTAAACATAAAATAACTTGATCCTGTTTGATCAAGGCATGCGACTGTTCTGACTTGTCCGATTTTCAGCATCAGTTTTTCATCTTGCATCAAAATTCTGTCTATTCATTGTATGCATTTGAAATATAGAGTTGGGTTTTGTTTTATTGTACCCAAGTGTACCTAAAATAAAAAGTGTTTAATATACAGGTTTGTGGCTCTTAATTTCCTATTAATTAACCATTTGTAATCTTATGTTCACTGTTCATTTTTTATAAATATAGGATTTGTATTAAATCTATATTCATTCATATAGTCAAATCGAATCGAGAATTGAAATCAAAAATCGAATCGAAATCGAATTGAGAGCTTGAAAATCAAAATCGAATCGAATTGGAACATCTGAATCGATACCCAGCCCTATGAATATGTATAATGATCTGAATCATTTCGGTTATATAGTGTGATCAAATATTTTGAAGCTGATTGCCCATCTTTTCATTTTTCTGTCATTTTGCACCACCAAGCCAAAGCTCAGAGTAGATACAAACCTTTAAAAGGTCTCTTCTGTAATTGTCATCAAGGAAAAGTGTGGATATTCTCCAATGCAAGACCACAGTTATAATCCATGCTTTTATGAAATAATGCAAAAATTAAAACAGAAATTAACATTATTGGTTCAAAAAAAGATTTGAGGGTATCTAACGGTTTTAACAACATACGTGTACATTCAGATATTAGCTACGGAGGACTTCAAACTGACACTATGATAAAATCAATGTTTGGGGTTCAGTTTTCCAATACAACAACAGAAATAAACAACGGAGATAAATACTACAGTGAAAAGATAAAGGCATTTAACAGCTCGTCTAAAAACATTTTTTATTCGTTTAACTCCATCCAGGGACAATTTACAAAATAACACCCATTTACTATTTCATATTAAATTAGAATTAGTGTCTTTTCTGGTATACAATTAGTCTAAATATTACACAACAAGGGACGCGGACACTTTAAAGTGTCTCAACAGACTAACGTTAATGATTTTATAAGCTTAACATTATTAGTAAACTACTACTTACCCAGAAATATTGATATCACAATAAAAAGACGTCTCAGTACAGAAATATCAGAGTAAACGATGTAAGATCATTATGAAAACAAGGGTGAAATATTAGTGCGCACGTACCTCAATGTATCCGGCTAGACTCGGAACAGCGATGGCCAGAATGAGCACAGATACGGCCGGGACTGAACCCATCTTCCACGGTGACTCTCTGCTGGGATTTGGGCTGAAATTATCCCGCTGTGGATTCTTGTAAGAGGCTCTTAAACCGAAAACAGCTCAGTAAACGGTCCGCGAGCCGTTGTTGTTGTGCGCGTTGATCCCGCTCTCAGCGCGTGTGGAATGCTACGCGAGCTCTAAAAACACGAGCAAGCACGCCACCGGCTGACTGATGACGGGACCGACCGGAAATGAGATCACCATGCTGTCATCTACTGAAGGATACAAACTGGGTGTGTGCACCTCCTGTAGGTCTATTATGAAATGGTATGACAATTAATATGGATTTCATCCAGATTTTAAAATTAAATGTAGGCCGAGGAAAATATGAAACATATGGCATTTTTAATGTTTTAGCTGCTATCATAAAAACTGTATTTTTTATATCCACCAATGTCAAAGTGCTTTTTCCACAGAAATATAATGGAAACTAAACTGTGTGTGTGTAGACCTATACTGTATGTATATATACAATACCAGTCAAAAGTTTTTGAACAGTAATTTTATAATGTAATTTAAAGAAGTCTTCTGCTCACCAAGCCTGCATTTATTTGATGCATTCCAAAGTACAGCAAAAACAGTACAATTTTGAAATATTTTTTTTACTACGTCTATATAAATAACTGTTTTCTATTTGAATATATTTTAAAATGTAATTTATTCCTGTGATTTCAAAGCTGAATTTTTAGCATCATTACTCCAGTCACATGATCCTTCAGAAATCATTCTAATATTTTTATTTGCTGCTCAAAAACATTTATTATTATTATTATTATTATTATTATTATTATTATTATTGTTGAAAACAGCCGAGTATAATTTTTTTCTTTGATGAATAGAAAGTTCAGAAGAACAGCATTTATCTGAAATAGAAATCCTTTGTAACATTATAAATGTTTTTATCATCACTTTTGATCAATTTAAAGCATCTTTGCTAAATAAAGGTGCTTTATTCTTTATTATAAAGATGACTTCAAGCTTTTTATTTCAGATAAATGCCGATCTTTGGATCTTTCTATTCATCAAAGAATCCTGGAAAAAAAATGTACTCAACTGTGTTAAATATTGATAATAATAATAATAATAATAATAATAATAATAATAATAAATGTTTGAACAGCAAATCAGCATATTAGAATGATTTCTGAAGGATCACGTGACACTGAAGACTGAATTTTCAGTTTCACATGATCCTTCAGAAATCATTCTAATATGCTGATTTGTTATTATTATTATTATTATTATTATTATTATTATTATTGTTGAAAACAGCCGAGTATAATTTTTTTCTTTGATGAATAGAAAGTTCAGAAGAACAGCATTTATCTGAAATAGAAATCCTTTGTAACATTATAAATGTTTTTATCATCACTTTTGATCAATTTAAAGCATCTTTGCTAAATAAAGGTGCTTTATTCTTTATTATAAAGATGACTTCAAGCTTTTTATTTCAGATAAATGCCGATCTTTGGATCTTTCTATTCATCAAAAAATCCTGAAAAAAAAAATGTACTCAATGTGACACTGAAGACTGGAGTAATGATGCTGAAAATTCTGCTTTGATCACAGGAATAAATTACATTTTAAAATATAGTAAAATAGAAAGTAGTTATTTGAAATAGTAAAAATATTTCACAATATTGCTTTTGCTGTATTTTGGATCAAATAAATGATGGCTCGGTGAGGAGAATAGAATTCTTTTAAAAACTTTAAAAATCTTACTGTTCAAAAACTGGTAGTGTATATACTGTATATATACATATATATATATATATATATATATATATATATATATATATATATGCTGAAATATTTCTTTCTGAAAATGTCTCTTTTTAACAGAAAGAGCAAGAGCAGCTCTGTTCAGTTGAGGATATGCATCTCTTCTCTCTTCCTCACTACAGAGATATGGTATTGTTAGAGCTTTACTCTAACATACTCAGCATACATCAACATACTCAGTTGCAAAAATAAATAAATAAATAAAGCTATGACTTTTTAGCACTTTTTCCTTTTAACATGTCACATACTGTCCATTCATGATGACTACCTTTCTAAACATAATTGTTTTTTAGGGATAGTTCACCTACAAAAATGTAAATTCTGCCATCACTTACTCAATCCTTGTTTCAAACCTGTGTGAGTTTCTTTCTTCTGCTGAACACAAAAGAAGATATTTTGAAGAATGTGAGTAACCTCATTTGGTAGCCGGTAGCCACTGACTTCCATAGTATTGAACAAATAGGGTGAGATTTTTGGGTGAACTATCCCTTGAAACAAATGGAAGAAACACACTGCAACTCTAATCCCAATTGTGTATTTCTAACAGTCAGATGCTGCCACCTATCAGCTATCACAACCTCATTATTTGCAAAGAGAAATTGCCAAAGATGTTTTACTGGAACCTGGTCTTCATTACATCTATTTTCTGTTTCTACTTTTGGGTTTTACTTCTGTATTTATTCATATTCAGTGTCAATTATCATTTATTATTATATTCAGCTAATAACTGTTGTTAGAGCACTGTCATAAATGCTATAATTTCATATGTCAAAAAAGTACCTAACTGTCACAACATGCTGTTGTGGTGTTGATGTAAAACCCTAATAGAGACTACAAGATATAAGACCAGGCAGATGAAAAAAAGTATTATTATTAAAAATGTTCTTTACAAAACCATTAAGGTCCTATATAGCACTTTTAAAGCATGGTTCTTTATGGAACCTTATAAAAAGGGTTCAACTATAGTTACAAGCTGAAGAACCCTAACTTGGTACTGTCTAGAACCATTCTTAAAAGTGTATATGTTCTTCCCAAACAGTGAAAACGTCTGCAGAAAGTCCTAGTGGTCATGACAGATTACCATTTATAAATGTCTTTCTTTCTTAATTCAAAAAAGAAAGTAATTAATTAAAAGAGAGAGAGAGAGACAGGGAGAGAGAGAGATGTTTGTTTATAAGAGACAAAGTGAAAATAAAAACAAGCATAAATGCTAATTACAAAATGATATACCTACTGCTCTTCTTTCCAATATTGTATTGTGGTGTCAGCAGTTTTACAATCAACGAGGGGAAGTTGACATGACCATACCACACATTTGGTATTTAAAAAAATGCCACAATTTCCTCTTTAACACTCTTTAACATGTGAAAATGTCATGTAAAAATGAATTGCTAGGGTCATGGGTTATAATAATGAAAAGATAAGAAGTCAAAAAAATAATAATCAAATAATAATAAAAAAAAACTACCCAAAAAGTAAAACAATTCTGTATCCAAGATTGTATTAGATGAAGTAATGTCACACAGCAGGTCCCTGATTGTCATGTCCATGTGAGCATAAACACAGATCTACAGGTGGTCCGTGTAAAATCAGTAGCAGTAGAAGTCATCATGATGTTTTTCAGCCTGCTGCTATTACACAATAGACTGTCTCCTTCTCCCATCACACCACATTTACACAATCCAATAGTCAATAAATCTAACAGAGAAGCTTTTCATGTCATCTGCCAGCTGTGTACGTGCAACTCATTTATGTTTTCCCACATTCTGTTGCACTGTATACTGTACAATCTTATATATGAAATATCAGAGTGTTTGCTAGTTACTGTGTGCTGTAGATTGTGCAGTTGATGTTGCTTACCTTCAAGGGTCAATAAGTTCATTCATCTAAACATTTATCTGTGTATATAAAATCATTTTTATCATAAACATAATTCAGAATAATAACACAATGTTTTGTGGCAGTGAAATTGTGAATGTTGAATATAGTATTTCAATTGCACTGTTTGCAGAAGCTGCAAGAGATTACGTAACACACAGTATTTACAACAATTGATTGTATTTGCATTTGCTGACCCATTGTACATGAGACTGACAAGCTTGACAATTTGTTCTCTGACAGATGTCCTTTAACATGGACAGAGACTAACCCATATCCATTCCTGATGAATATTTGTACAACTCGACTAGTACTATCAGATCTTTTGGTATCTTCATTCTGAGATTGTCTTTTGAATATTAATTTAGTTGTTTCATTTCTATACTGTATCTCATTTTAAGTTCTGTAGTTGAGTTTACCAAATAGATTCGGACTTCACCTTTTTATGATATATTAATATCTGATATTAAAGGGGTCATATGATGCGATTTCAATTTTTCCTTTCTCTTTGGAGTGTTACAAGCTCTTGGTGCATAAAGAAGATCTGTAAAGTTGCAAAGACTAAAGTCTCAAATCCAAAGAGATATTCTTTATTTATTGTAGGTCTATTAGGCTATATTGTATTTGGTTGTATTGTAGGCTATTATATATATATATATATATATATATATATATGTTACTATTGTTATTATTAAACCGATATTTGATTTCTATTGGTCTACCGCCTAGTTTTTGTAAACGGTTTTCATTTCTATATCTTAAAATCTACTCGGTTTTTCCAGTGAGCTCTACTTCGTGGAAACGCCATTTTTATGCAACAGAAACCTGCATGTCTAGTTTGTATCACGCCGAGGTAAACTGCATTTGAGACTTTGTCTCAAATTCTACTACGCGCCCTACCTAGACAGTCTTTTCGGTCCCATAGGCGCATTCCGAAGCATGATTGCCAACCATGCGGTCTAAGTAGGCAGCACACTAGATTCCGACATATAGAAGACGCCCGCGGAAGGTGAGTCACTCCGTAGCAGAAACACATATCGATACTGAATTTCTACAGTCATATCTATGCTTAAAATATACCTTGCAGTTGTTTTGAAATATTAACGCATGTCGTCACCGTACTTTGATGTATTTAGGGCTATTTTGTAGTTTAGAGATTGGGGTTTAAAGTGTTATTTGTGGGAAGCGCTCACCTGTTAGGGCCAGTATCGCTTGAGTTAGTCACTCTCATTGTACCGCGAATCTCCGGAAATATCTCTCTCGTCTCACAGGTAGCCGAAACAATCTTCTCTCTACGGAAGATAAAATGTGCCTCATTTTAATCCTCTAATTTCGTTTTTGAGACATACACGTCTTAGTTTGTTCGACATTTTGTTGTTAGGACGCTTTCATTTATATTTTGTTCCGCGTGCACTTGTAATGGGCGTGTTGTTTGATTTCATCTGAGAATAACAAGCCTGTGTTTTTTTCTTACAATACACAAATACTCGTTTTATTTTGTCAGCAGAAGTGGAAGTCTGAGAAGAAACGCCTGCTGA